TATCAAGTTTGAGCTTCTTTTGCTGACTTCTAGAAGAGAGTTTGTACAAAACAGTGTTGATAGTAATGTATCCAACATATAGGGACACATGAAGAACCGAAAAGAATTTTAAAAAATGGTGAAGCAAACAGAGTCAAACCTTTTTCCTCAAGCGGACTGTGCATTTGGCTCATTATTCAGTCTTTAATCCTATGCTGCCTGCCTTCCACCATCCCAATTTAAAATCCCCTTAAGCAAAATTAGCACAAAGAGTCAACTGAAAGAAAATAAAGATATATGATTTTAAATTCTGATGGCACTTTATACTTTTCTAGGAGCTTTTAGGGTAAAGTCTTCCTGTTCATGAAGTAGACAGTTTAGATACTGCTTGTGTTACAAATAAGGAAGTCAGCGTCCAGGTAGGTTAAAAGATTCATCTGAGGTTATAGAGAAATTATCAATGACAACTCTGACACTGATGCTACAGATTCAGAGAGGACTGTCTTTTTCTTTAAAAGGGAAAATGTGTATAAAGCCCTTGTTATAATCATGGATACATAGTGAAATACTTAATAAAGACAAATACATCTTTCCAATCCCTGGCACTCTAACTCACTTATCAATCCCATGCAGCTGATTATTCTGAGCTATAAATCTAAAGTCTCAGCACGAATATTCACCGAACAGTATCCAAAGTCACCAAGTGGCTCTTCCCATCCTGACCCAACTAAATGTATTTTGACAATATGTCACTTATTAATTGTTACTACACTAAGATTATCACATAATCCCACATTCCAAGCAAATAATAAAAATCGTCACATACCTGAAAGGTTAGAAAAGGAAAATCCAGATTTTACACAATACATTTTCAGTGTCCAGACCCTTAACTAAATTTTTTTTAGCGTTCCCTCTGGAATCATGCACAGTGGACACAACACAAAACTGGCCATCAGCCACCTGGATTTTGTGTTCTATAGTTTGACTTTCAGCAAATCACATAGCTTCCCTGAGTCTCAGCCTCCTCATCTAAAGATAGGCAGTTTAACTAGATATTCAATAAGGTCTTTCCCTGTTCTAAGTCTTCTTTTATTTTATTTTTTTAACTGCCACCAATTTATAGTATCTTCTTGTTACTGCCAATATAGAAATCCAAATGACAGCTTCAACACCGGTGTTTCTCAATAATGCACTTTATGCTGTAGTACAGAAGGGCTTAGTGAATCGGTGATGCTGCCAAAATTAGAATTTACGGCTGTGCCTAATCAATTGTTTTTCTAGTAAGCCATAGTGCCTCATACTGCCTCCACTTAACAATAAAACAAGATTTAAAGGGAAAAACTGTATGATTTCATACTGGCATATGCAAGGGTAAAATTGAAAGACGGTACTATAAAATCATCACACCATAACGACCATTGAGTGCGTATGCGCTGCAAAATATGTGTGCTTGTCTGCCCTTGCCAGACAGATAGCAATGTTTGGTTCAAAGGATTATTGTGGAGTTAAAAAAAAAAAAAAAAGCATTAAAGGCTAGTTGTCTTTATGTCTGAAAGCTTTGCATGCAAAAGTACATTATGGAACAGTACTTACTAGAAAAAGAACAATTTTACTTCTAAAGGAAAGAGACTTAAGCAACCAGCTTAAAACTAGAGTGTTGAACAATGAGAACACATGGAAACAGGGAGGGGAACATCACACATTGGGGTTTGTTGGGGGGCTAGGGGAGGAATAGCGGGGAGTAGGGATATTGGGGAGGTATAACATTGGGAGAAATATCTAATGTAGGTGATGGGGTAATGGAGGCAGCAAACCACCATGGCATGTGTATACCCATGTAACAATCCTGCAAGATCTGCACATGTACCCCAGAACTTAAAGTATTTAAAAAACAAAACTAGGCTGAAAAAAATGTTAATTAAAGTCTAACTTATCTCTTTCTGGATCCTAAGTTACTAACAAAAAAAAAATTAGCTAACAGTTACTGAGCCTGTGTGTACCAGGCACAACTGTAAGCATGTTTTATGTATTAATTCATTTTATCTTCATAAGATCCCTCTGAATCAGATACTATTAATATTCCCAGTTTATAGATGAAGATGCAGATTTGAAGCTTTATGACTAGTACAGAGCAGAACGGGAATCAAGAATAGTTTTGTTAAACATGTGCATTTCTTCCTGTATGTAAAGTGGTCATGGTAATAATTGTTACATGTGATTTTCATATATTCATAAAGGAGTGCATGTTAACGTGTGCACTCTCCAATGATGTAAAATAAAAATTATTAAGAACTAAGAATTGATCATGGTGGAAAAGCTTTTTCATGCACTTCTGAATTCAGTTTGCCAGTATTTCACTGAGGATTTTGACATCAATATTCATCTGGGACATTGGCCTAAAATGTGTGTGTGTGTGTCTGTGTGTGTGTGTCTGCCAGGTTTTGGTATCAGGACGACACTGGCCTCATAAAATAAGTTAGGAAGGAGTCCCTCTTGTTCTCTTTTTTTGGAATAGTTTCAGAATGAATGGTACCATCTCCTCCCTGTACCTCTTGTAGAATTAGGCTGTGAACATGTCTGGTCCTGGGCGTTTTTTGGTTGGTAGGCATTCATTACTGCCTCAATTTCAGAACCGGTTATTGATCTATTCAGGGATTCGACTTCTTCGTGGTTGAGTCTTGGGAGGGTGTATGTGTCCAGGAATTTATCCATTTCTTCTAGATTTTCTAGTTTATTTGCATAGAGGTGTTTATAATATTCTCTGATGGTAGTTTGTATTTCTGTGGAATCAGTGGTGATATCCCCTTTGTCAGTTTTTATTGTGTCTGTTTGATTCTTTGCTCTCTCTTTTCTTCTCTATTAGTCTGGATAGCAGTCTATTTTCCTGATCTTTTCAAAAAATCAGCTCCTAGATTCATTTATTCTTTTTGAAGGGTTTTTGTATCTGTCTCCTTCAGTTCTGCTTTGATCTTAGTTACTTCCTATCTTCTGCTAACTTTTGAATTTGTTTGCTCTTGCTTCTCTAGTTCTTTTAATTTTGATGTTAGAGTGCCAATTTTAGATGTTTTCTGCTTTCTCCTGTGGGTATTTAGCTCTATAAATTTTCCTCTCAACACTGCTTTAGCTGTGTCCCAGAGATTCTGGTATATTGTGTCTTTGTTCTCATTGGTTTCAAAGAACTTATTTATTTCTGCTTTTTGTTGTTTACCCAGTAGTCATAAAGGAGCAGGTTTCAGTTTCCATGTAGTTGTGCAATTTTGAGTGAGTTTTTAAATCCTGAGTTCTAATTTGATTGCTGTGGTCTTGAGAGAATATGTTAACTTCTCTTCCCGGGTCCACAAGAAGCGTGGTTTCAAAGGCAAGAACTTCCCAGCAACATGCCTGACCTGCCTTCTTTCACGTCTCCATCCAGGAGCTTAGAGGTCTTTGTCTAACTTTCATGAGCTCGGGATTATAGACTGCCCAGGTGAGCTTCTTTTGTTTAGAAAAGCCCAGGAAAAGCTATGGGAGGACTGTGGGCCAAACAACCAATCAGATGTCAGAATCAAAGATCAATCACTCTAGCAGAAGTTTGAAGGAACTCCTCTCATGGGACAGGAAATTGAATGGGGTGGGAGTAACTCCCAGATTAAAAGATCCCCTGCCCCTTACTTGTGTGGATTTCCCTCTCTGGGATCCCCTTTCATGACAGCATGGGAGCTGGCTTTCTCTCTCTCCCTACTTCTCTTTCTCCGTCTCTCTGTCTAATAAATCACTTTTCTGCAAAAGCTCTTGGAGTCCGACATTTACTTGAACAATATCACCATGCCAGGGCCTCCTACCCATTCTTGGGTGGATGAGAGCCCAAGGACCTAAGCACCTCGGGCACCTTGGGCACTTCCCATCAGGGAGCTGAGCCTCCCCCACGTCTCGCTACCCAGTCACAGTCTGAGAGACTGTTATGATGATTTTTGTTCTTTTGCATTTGCTGAGGAGTTTTTTACTTTCAATTATAGGGTAAATTTTAGAATAAGTGTGATGTGGTTCTGAGAAGAATGTATTGAAGTGGAGAGTTCTGTAGTTGTCTATTAGGTCCGCTTGGTCCAGAGCTGAGTTCCAGTCCTGGATAACCTTGTTAATTTTCTGTTTCGATTTGTCTAATATTGACAGTGGGTTGATAGTCTCCCAATACTATTTTGTGGGAGTCTAAGTCTCTTTGTAGGCCTCTAAGAACTTGCTTTATGAATCTGGGTGCTCCTGTATTGGGTGCATATATATTTAGGATAGTAACCTCTTCTTGTTGCATTAATCATTTTACATTATGTAATGCCCTTCTTTGTCTCTTTTGATCTTTGTTGGTTTAAAATCAGTTTTATCAGAGACTAGGAATGCAATCCCTGCTTTTTTGTTTGTTGGTTGGTTTTCCATTTGCTTGGTAAATCTTACTCCATCCCTTTATTTTGAGCCTATGTGTGTCTTTGCATGTGAGATGGGTCTTCTGAACACAGCACAACAATGGGTCTTGACTGTTTATCCAATTTGCCAGGCTATGTCTTTTAACTGGGGCCTTTAGCTCATTTATATTTAAGGTAATATTATTATGGGTGAATTTTATCCTGTCATTATGATGCTAGCTGGTTATTTTACCCATAAGTTGATGCAGTTTCTTCTTAGTGTCAATGGTCTTTACAATTTGGTATGTTTATACAGCGGCTGGTACTGGTTTTTCCTTTCCATATTAAGTGCTTGCTTCAGGAGCTCTTGTAAGGCAGTCCTGGTGGTGACAAAATCTCTCAGGATTTGCTTGTCTGTGGAAGTTCTCCTGGATAATATCCTGAAGCGTGTTTTCCAACTTGGTTTCATTCTCCCTGTAACTTTCAATCAAACGTCGGTTTGGTCTTTTCACATAGTCCCATATTTCTTGAAGGCTTTGTTCATGTCTTTTTTCTTTTTTCTCTAATCTTGTCTTCACACTTTATTTCATTAAGTTGATCTTCAATCTCTGATATCCTTTCTTTCACTTGATTGATTTGGCTGTCGACTTCATCCCTGGGATCCCAAGCTGGTTCAATGTACACAAATTAATAAACATAATCTAACACATAAACAGAACCAATGACAAAAACCACAGAATTATCTCACTAGATGCAGAAAAGGGCTTTGATAAAATTCAACACCCCTTCATGCTAAAAACTCTAAATAAACTAGGTATCGAGGGAACATATCTCAAAATAATAAGAACTATTTATGACAAACCCACAGTCAATATCACACTGAATGAGCAAAAGCTGGAAGCATTCCCGTTGAAAACCAGCACAAGACAAAGATGTCCTCTCTCACCACTCCTATTCAACATAATATTGGAAGTCATGCCCAGGGCAATCAGGCAAGGGAAAAAAATAAAGGGTATTTAAACAGGAAGACAGGAAGTCAAATTGTCTCTGCAGATGATGTGATTGTATATTTAGAAAACCCCATTGTCTCAGCCCAAAATCTCAACATGATAAGCAACTTCAGCAAAGTCTCAAGATACAAAATCAATGTGCAAAAATCACAAGCATTCCTATACACAAATAATAGAGAAACAGAGCCAAATCGTGAGTGAATTACCATTCACAATTGCTACAAACAGAATTAAATACCCAAGAATAAAACTTATAAGTGTGTGAAGGATTTCTTCAAGAAGAACTACAAGAAGAAATACAAGCCACTGCTCAAGGAAATAAGAGAGGACACAAGCAAGTGGAAAACATTCCATGCTCATGGATAGGAAGAATCAATATTGTAAAAATGGCCATAATGTCCAAAGTAATTTACAGATTCAATGCTATTTCCATCAAGCTGCCATTGACTTCCTTCACAGAATTGGAAAAACTACTTTAAATTTCACATGGAACCAAAAGAGAGATCATATAGCCAAGACAATACTAACAAAAAAGGACAAAGCTGGAGGCATCACATTGCCTGACTTCAACTACAAAGCTTCAGTAACCAAAACAGCATGGTACTGGTATTAAAACAGATATATAGACAAATGGAACAGAACAGAGAACTCAGAAATAACACCACACATGCACAACTATCTGATCTTTGACAAACCTGACAAAAACAAGCAATGGGGAAAGGATTCCCTATTTAATAAATGGTGTTTGGAAACCAGCTAGCCATAGGCAGAAAACTGAAACTGGACTCCTTCCTTACACCTTATACAAAAGTTAACTCAAGATCGATTAAAGACTTAAATGTGAAACTAAAACCATAAAAACCCTAGAAGAAAACCTAGGCAACACCATTCAGGACATAGGCACGGGCAAAGACTTCATAACTAAAACATAAAAATAAAAAAAAATTAAAAAAGGGCAACAAAAGCCAAAATTGACAAATGAGATCTAATTAAACTAAACAGCTTCTGCACAGCAAAAGAAGCTATCATCACAGTGAATGGGCAATCTACAGAATAGGAGGAAAATTTTTACAATCTATTCATATGATGAGGGGCTTATATCTAGAATCTACTAAACTTAAACAAATTTACAGGAAAGAAAAAAAAAACATAGAACCCCATCAAAAAGTGGACAAAGGATATGAACAGACATTTCTCAAAAGAAGACATTTTTGTGGCCAACAAACATATGAAAAAAAGCTCATCACCACTGGTCATAAGACAAATGCAAATCAAAACCACAATGAGACACCATCTCACACCAGTTAGAATGGCGATCTTTAAAAAGTCAGGAAACAACAGATGCTGGAGAGGATGTGGAGAAATAGAAACACTTTTCCACTGTTGGTGGGACCGTAAATTAGTTCAACCATTGTGGAAGACAGTGTGGCGATTCCTCAAGGATTTAGAACCAGAAATACCAATCCCATTACTGGGTATATACCCAAAGGATTAAAAGTCATTCTACTATAAAGATATATACATACATATGTTTATTGCAGCACTGTTCACGATACCAAAGACTTGAAACCAACCCAAATGCCTGTCAATGATAGACTGGATAAAGAAAATGTGGCACATATACACTACGGAATACTGTGCAGTCATAAAAAAGGATAAGTTCATGTTCTTTGCAGGGACATGGATAAAGCTAGAAACCATCATTCTCAACAAACTAACATAGCAACAGAAAACCAAACACTGCATGCTCTTACTCGCAAATGCGAGTTGAACAATGAGAACGCAAGGACACAGGGAGGGGAACATCACACACTGGATCTGTTGGGGGCTGGGGGACTAGGGTAGGACCAGCATTAGGAGAAATATTTAATGTAGATGATGGGTTGATGGGTGCAACAAGCCATCATGGCACATGTATACCTATGTAACAAAATTGCACCTTCTGTACATGTATCGCAGAACTTAAAGTACAATTTAAAAAAACCTAAAAATTAGTTTTTCTTAACATTATAATGTCTTGAAAATGTTACAAATCATTTGTGTGTGTGACATTCACTACTTTAAATGGAATTATATTAAAACTTAAATAATTAGACTTGTTCCTCAGATATGAACAAGTCAATTTTTAGTTATGATTCTACAGATGTTTTTATGGGATATTGTAACTTGATGTTAGAATATGTAAGTGGCTCCAGTCATCTTTAAAACTTCTAATTATTCAGAGATGACATAATATCTTCTGATAAATTCCGATTTGCTATTTTCCCACTAGCTGTTTTTTTTTAACTTGACAAAATCCATATTTTAATTTGATTTAGGATGAGAATAAATGAAAATGGCTGATTCTCATTTGCAAACTGTGAGACTTGTTATGCAGTTCATAAAAATCAAAAGTATTGCATTTTATTGATCAAAAGACTTAATTTTCATTTTTAGTATTTCCTGAGAAATCATGTTTTGACACTGCCTAAAACATATCCTTTGCAAATACACAAATGGAGAACATTAGTTTCATAAATAAGGTTTCCTACCTGAGACTGAACTTCCTTGTCAAATGTGCCAAGAAATGCAGGCTGCTGCTCAGCTCCATTAAGCAGCCACTCTCTGCTGTTTTAAATGTTTTCCAGAATGGGCACTAGTGCCTGAGGCATGCTTGGAAGAGGGGGTGACAGGGTTTCCATACTGCCACCCTAATTTACAAGACCAAAGTCTCATTTGAGCAGAGTTTTCATTGAAGCATAATGTCTGAAACATATCTTTGTTTATACTGTAGGTGGCAGGATTTTTTTGCTTTAAAAATCTTGCTATAACCCTGCATTTTCTTGCAAATGAAAATTTAAGGTACCATCAGATAACATTTTATGAAAACATTTATATGGTTCCAGGAAAGATAGCCAGGCCCTGAAGCTGGGTGCTTTTTGTTCTTGGTATTGTTCATAAACTAATATATATTATTTGATATAGTCATATTTTGTATTTGGCTTAACTTTGTCTCTTTGTTCCTCAAATTCAGTATTTTTCTAAATTTTGAGATTCAATAAATTAAAAGCATTAAATGTTGAAACTTAGAAACAGAATTCACTCCTGTTTAAGGTTTGAAAATGGGTAAATCTGCACTGAATCCAATACTCTAAACGACTTTATTTCAACGACTTTTGATTAAGAAATATATACTCCTGAAACTGGGTATCATGTTAGCTGTTAATAATTGAAAAAACAAATTAACAATTTATAAACAAAAACAAAAATTTATCAATTCTTTATAAGCTTATGGAATTCTGAACCTTAACTTTTATATTTTTGTTTCCAATAGTACAAAATGCTTCCATTCACATTTGATATATATTTACCTATATTTAAAATCATCACTAATTTTTCTTATTATATGAAAACATTTTTATCATGTTTTTAAAAGCAAATTATGTCAGTGAAGACATTTTCTCGGCTAGCTCTTGTAAAGGCTAATTTGCTTATCTTATAGACATCTATAAAAATTCATGCTTTTTTATATATTTCAAAGCTCTAAAATGAAATTAATCAGGGTGACTTGAAGTTCATCGGGATACTTTGGTTTCTTCTGAAACTGAAGTCGACATATGCTCTTCCTTAATATCTGTTTCTTACTCTACTCAAGGGAAATGGCAAATTATCTAAAAGTTAACTCAAATAGCTTAATATGCTATTTCGGCCTTTACATTTCTTCTACTTGGCCCATACTCTCAACTAATTTAAAAAGAGGTCTCTGTACAAATTCCTCCATTTACCAACAGTAAAACAGCTATCACCCACGTCTGCTTAAGGTGAACCACTAAAGATCTATTTTGCACAAATGCGTTTATGCAAGCATTTTAGAGGAAATTTTATCTCTTATCAGGTAAAGTTTATGAACATTTCTCAGTAAAAACATGAGACCTAGAACTATATTCTGCTATAATTTGACGTTCTTCATGAGTTTCCACCAAAAGTTTACCTCAGTGCTTGAAATCATTATGTGTCAGCATAACAGTTACACACAGACATACACACAAACATACCCTTCTAATAACACCTTTTTTTTTTTTTTGTCTCTGGAGTTCAAAATTCTATCAATTAAGGTTAGATTCCAACCTTATATAGACAGGGAAACCAGGGACAAAAAATAATATTTTCAATAGCCTTTCTTGGAAAGAATATTTTTACATTTTTTTCTTGCAAACATCTGATATTAAGCCTTTGGTGCTATCTTTCATGACTTGACTACTTTCTAGCCTGCAACATATTTACATAGTAAACTATAATTTAGGGATAGAGATATTCATCACCTTTAACAGAAAAGAAGAAATCTGAAGCCCCCAGAAGTTGATATATCCAACATCATATGGACAAAGCCTAGCTCTCATAATTCTAAATTTAGTTCAGTGCCCCAACACCCTCCATCTCTGCACCCTAAACTATTTCTACAAATTGCCTTTATTTGGTCAATAATAGATAATTGTCTGGAAAACTGGGTACATTCCATCAAGCCAGTCTTTAAATTTGGCCTTTATTCCTTGGAAATCTGTGCTATGCTAAATTCAGCTTCTAGAATGTTTTATTCTGTGTTCATCATGCCTGAAAAGGGTAACATTTAAAAAGCAAATATTTATTTCCCATTATTCTATGTCATATTCTAGTTGATCAACAATATTGGTTTGTATACGACTTTTACTTTTGGAGTTCGAATTAATTCACTTTTTCCTAGATTATTGTCCTAAATATAATGGCTCCATATCCTATCATGGTATAGGCAGAGCATATCCCAGAATGACTAGAAAAAAGTAACTACATGCCCACCTTATGTAGAATACTTGAAGCATATATATCCAAAGAAGGC